GTAAAAATTGTAAAACTTAAACCCTCCATGGGTATTATATGCAACAAGTGGATGTTAAATGGCAGTCAAAAACCTTATGTGTAAATGTGGCATGTCGTGCCGGACGCCGGTTCAACTTCAGGTCTGTTTAGCATAGAGCTTATGCAGTGCACAGTCTCTGTGTATTATTTATTTATGATGGTTTAAACCGTTTGCGAATCGGATTTACTAGTTTACAAATAAAGTGTAATGTAGAATTAGTAAACTCTACGTTCCCTGTAAAGGATTAAAAATAAAAATCATAAATTAAGTTGTTGAATAAAATTTCCAGAAACCACTCTTGCATTTTTTAATAATTATGCCTAACAGGAAATTTGTAATTTAAAATTTTCGAATACATTTACAATAATACAACAATACAAAAAAAAATACATGATCAAAAGATGAATAGTTGGGTGTTATTTAAATAAACTTAAAATAATGCTTTAATACAAAAAAACTCTTAATATTTCATTCATTTTAACAAATACTCTTATCATTAAGTAAGTATCAGTACAAATACTTTTAAGCATTAAAGACCATATTCACGGTGGACTAAGCCAGTGGGTCGGTCAAATAGGCCTAGGATTAGGCCGGGTTCTGTAAAAAGTCTGAACGCGCCATGGTAGTTGTCATAGTTAGCCCTCCGACGGGACTATGTCAAGAAAATTGACCACTGTCGTATGTTAGTCTTGTTAGGGCGACGTACTGTACAATAGGATCGGGGCACTATACACGCTGTTATCTGGCAGGGCGGTACAAACTGGGCAGGTCCTGTTCTAATTCAAATTTACTACGGCCCAGAATGTATTTAAATTTTCGTTACACCCCTAAATATCTCTAAATATTACGGTTAGGCCAGCAAAAACTAACATATAATACATATACACGTCACGTGGATTTCACGGTTCTGTCAATATATCAAAAAAGCTTTGGCTTTCGATCAAAATTATAACCATTATACATAATATTTTAGCCTTTTTTCTTAAATACTTTGTTGTCGGCATACCCATTTTGAATGAAAAAGTAAGAAATAAACAAATCCGTAAGTTTAAAGATTGTTGAATTATAGACTAAAAGACGTTTGATTTCAAATAAATGAAACCGAATGCTTCTCACTTAGTCCGGGGTGACACCCTTACATACAATTTCGACGCCCTGCTTTCAATTGGCATATATGCTAGGCGTTCAGTGCACTTTTAATTCGGACATTTCAAAATATAAAATTTAAACATTTCTCTATTTTGACCAGCCATAACGCTTCCTTTGGGTGAGTTGCCATAAACAAATCGGGCCCGATCGGTTCAGCTGTTTTTTTAATGTGTTTTTTAGATATAAACAGAAACAGACAAGCAAAATAAATCAAACATGGACACGTTTTGAATTTGAACAATTTGTATTGAACCATTGAAAAAAATACCTAATTTATTTAGCTAAATACAAACTAATTGTAATTATTTATAAATTTTTCACGAAAGCAATTTAAGCGAGTTTGAGTAAATAACAGATAATTAATTCAACATTTGTGAAATTAATTATGTATATCATTAATAATGTTAGATACTATATTACGTAAGTTTTTCTTTAGGAAAAATAATTAATACTATTTGAAAAGGTACAAAAAAATTTCTTCAAAATTTAGAAGGTTATGAAGTTTGTTTACGTTTTTTTTGCTTTTTGGACAAATGTAACAAATTTTAACAATGAAAGTCTTTGCCACAAACTCAAATTTTATAATCCATTTACCTTTGCAAGTTGTAAATCTTTGATATTTCAAAGTTAGATCAATTGATCTATAATAATTCGTAATTTGAAATATCTAAGGTTCACGACCACAACATGGGGTTGTAATGATTAAAGAATTAAAATATCGGAGTTTTTGGCAAGGACTTAACTCCTTTAGTTTATAGAGCCATTAAAAATAACCTTCCCCTCTATCTGCGGTGTGTTAAAACTAAACAAAATGAAAATGATCAATAATGAAAGACTAGAGTCTGTCAAACTTCCGGACAAGAACTTGGCTCATTTTCAAACGTTCGTTTTAACCTTGTGAGTCTTTCATTTTCAGGACAAGAACTTCGCTCATTTTCAAACGTCTGTTTTTCCTAGTGAGCCTGCTTATTTTGAAGACAAGAACATGTTCTAACGTCAATTTGTCCATGTAAGCCTATTAATTCTGAGGACAAGAACTTGGCTGATGTGCTAAGTCTAAACTGTGATAAGTGTGAAGAAAACTAATGAAACCATATTCTCATCTCTGCAAGTTCCTTTATGCTTACACCTTCAAAGAATATTAGGAGCCTAGGGAATAGAATTATAATTCTACAGATGATGAACATCTATCTCTCACATTCATTTTAACTTATTTTAGTTTAGGATTTAAATATAATCTTAAAGTTTTCATTCCATGATAGTTGGTACAGTAAAAAAGAAAATACGACTTTTTTAAGGAATAACACTAAACTTTCCATTTTATATATATGTATAATATTATTCATTTAAAGATTATTGATTCTTTTTTAATAAAATTTTCAGTTCTGGTGTCGCACACCTACGGTAGTAGGCGATGATATTATTATAATGAAATACAAAATGACAATTAACTAAAGAAGGTTTTTTATTGACAGGTTCTCTTGTTTCCATGTTTTTATTGACAGGTTCTCTTTGTTTCCATGTTTTATTGACAGGTTCTCTTTGTTTCCATGTTTTATTAACAGGTTCTCTTGTTTCCATGTTTTATTGACAGGTTCTCTTGTTTCCATGTTTTTATTGACAGGTTCTCTTGTTTCCATGTTTTTATTGACAGGTTCTCTTGTTTCCATGTTTTTATTGACAGGTTCTCTTTGTTTCCATGTTTTAATGACAGGTTCTCTTTGTTTCCATGTTTTTGTGTATCCATGCTGTTTGAACGTTTGATATAAATCAAATATGAAATCGAAAGTCGTCTTATAATTGTATTATACAGGGTGTCCCAAAAAACATGGGAATTCAGTGACGAATTTGATATCGTCTTTGTTATGAATTAGCATTGTAATACCTAATTTCAAAAGCCATAATATTATTATGTCTGCTAGAGCTTATTTTATGAAAAGGGTAAAAGACTGTAAAGATGTGTCTATAATGTCTCCGCAAGATGAACAGTGAAGACAGACAAGTTTACTCTGTTTGTATACTGCAATTTTCTTGTTTTACTAAGTACAACCGTATGCAGTCAAAACATAAACAAACAAATTGTAAACATAGCAGACGAAACTCTTACAGATTACAGCTTTCTCAGTAGGTATCACTATACTAAATCAAAGAATTATTTGAAAAGACGATATCGAATTCGTCACTGAATTCCCATGTTTTTTGGGACACCCTGTATAATCGCGTACCACCGTATTATAATTCAAACTGTTGAATTCTACCAGATAAAAAAGTCAAAGTTGATATTCAGGATTATACATTTACTGTTGGGCAAGTTCAAACCAATTTATCTAAATATTTTCAACAATTCCTTTTTAACAGCATGGCTTGAGTAATAAATAATTAATGATAAATACATTTTATTATTCTTTTCTTAATTTAAAATATTTTCTTTTCTTTTCTTTTCTTTATATTTTCTGGGTTTCTGCAATCTATTTTGATACAGGCTGAGGCTTGTAGTAAATGCCATACTCTTATTCCTTCGTCCCAAAACTGTATCAGTCCAGGAACAGTCCGTCCTCTATCAAAGTCACATAGGAAAACATCCACTAGACTACAATCTAGTGAACTATCAACGCCACTATCACTGGGCGCAACGCAATCTCATTAGCTATCAAACAAGCTATTACTTAGGCTCTAAATGCAACACTGGGACACAAGCATTGGCTGTCTGTCAAGCCATTAATCAATCTCTATAACCTTGTACTAGAGTAGGATCTAAACCCGAATGTTTCAACGGGGGTACAATTACTCTACTCCTACGTCTTTATCTATATCACATGAATATGTTAAGGCAAATTATGTTACGTATTAAAGCACAGTTAGAAATAGTCGCAATCTAAGATACTGGGCTTTTAGGGCGAATTGTGGCTACTCTTGTGAGCATCTTCTCTTTGTACAGTGTAAAACAAAAACAAAAAAAATTTGCGGATTTCATAACATTTTTTTGGGCATTTTCAAAATTTTACGAAAATAAAAAAAAATTAAACACAAATTTTTAAGATTTTGATCATTCATAAACCTTCCCTGGGGTCACGTGAGGTACCAGACAAAGTTTGGGGCCGATCGATCGGTTCAACCGTTTTGACGCATATTGGAAACAAACAAGCCGAAAGACAGACAAGCTAAGTTCAAATATAGATACGTCATATGTATCACATGATTCCGTTTACCATGCTACGCATTAATTTAGAACACAGTTCAAATGAATAATTTTTTTACGTAAAAACATCGATCATTGATAATGTACAACGTACTGCAAATTGATAATGTACAACGTACTGCTAATTTACTGAATATTTATTACAGGCTTGCCCACAAAGCATTAGACATTAAAGACGACTGATTGAATTTTTTCAGTTTTTATTTGGACAATTTTTGCGCTATGACGCTGTATGCTACGCATATTACCACATAGTTTCATCTTGCTATTTTGCTATGCTGAGTTCTTCATTTTTCGCGAAGTACATCACAATCTCAAAAACAAAACGAAAAATCAATTAAAAAATTTTAAAAATTAATCTGATTTTGGCCAGACAGGATTAAAAAACAGTTCGAAAAGTAAATTTTACTGCTTAGAAGTTTTATTTAAGTTTTAAATAGATTCCCAAAAATTCTCCTATAAATAGCATTTATATTTTACAGATTATGAAATGTCTTCAATATAATATGGCTCTTCGCTCATTTATTCATATATAAGCTTGCTTGAGTCGCTATAGCTGATCAAACGGCTGTTTGATGATAATTTTGTATATTTAAGGACAACGTCGGACATTAATATTTAAAAAGTTAGCTTATATCAAAAACTTTTATTAACAATTTATGTATAAACACATTTAGAAAAAATACAAATAATACATATTACTTATACAATCTGTATATACACAGGGTCATTTTAATATTTATATATTTATTTTTAAACTTCAGCTTTGTCATGAATTTCACAGTTCACTGCCATTTTTTATGAATTTAAAACAATACGCTTCATCATTTTTTTTATAATCTCCAATTGTTTTTAAAACATATAATAGTTCTTTTGACTTTAAAGTTTGTTTGATATTCTTTAAAAATTTATTTTTAATTCTAAATCTAGGTTCTTTTTCACCTTATCACTCGTCAATATTTTAATGTAGATATATGGTTTAAATACCGGGTTTTTATTAGAAGCATATTATTGATAAAATAAAAAACATAATTAGTTTTTTTTAGCTAAATAATAAAATAAACAAAATACAACAACGTGTGGTAAATGTAAATAACGCGGTTAGAGATATTTTAATAAAGCTAAAAACTTTTAAATTGACGCTTAAAGATCAATTAATCTTCTTGTAATAACAGCATTTAAAAGTTTCCAGCCCTGGCAACAGATTCGAGTTTAACAGGTTATCGAAACTCAGTTTTGTTTGATGTTTTCAATGGTTTTAGATATTTTCAGCATAATTATAAAACACTTTTTGTTTTACTTTACTCTCTGGCTGCTACGTCTTTTAATTGCGTACGCAACAAAATGAAGTACGCAAGATATGCCAAGAAGAGAAGATGAAATCCAGAATGCGTAACTATAATCACCTCCTGAAAAAATAAATGAATAAATGAATAAATGAATAAATGAATAAATGAATCAATGAATAAATGAATAAATGAATAAATAAATAAATAAATAAATGAATAAATGAATAAATGAATAAATGAATAAATGAATAAATGAATAAATGAATAAATGAATAAATAAATAAATGAATAAATGAATAAATGAATAAATGAATATATAACCAACCTGAGAGGTCAATGACGAAACCTCCAACTGGAGGTCCAAGGAATGCCGCCAGACCTCGAATACAGGTCAAAACACCGAAGGCGGTTGTGAGTAGTTCCAACCCAAGGAGGTCAACCTATATAACCAAGAAGGGCAGCCTATATAACCAATGAGGTCAACTTATATTACCAAGAAGGTCTGCCTGTATAACTAAGAAGGTCAACTAATATAACCAATGAGGTCAACTTATATAACCAAGAAGGTCAACCTATATAATCAAGAAGGTCAACCTATAGAACCAAGAAGGTCAACCTATATAATCAAGAAGGTCAACCTATATAACCAAGGAGGTCAACTTATATAACCAAGAAGGTCAACCTATATAACCAAGGAGGTCAACCTATATAACTAAGGAGGTCAACTTATATAATCAAGGAGATCAACTTAAATAACCAAATAACCAAGAAGGTCAACCTATTTAACCAAGGAGGTCAAATTATATAATAAATGAGGTCAACTTATATAACCAAAAAGGTCAACCTATATAACCAATGAGGTCAACCTATATAATCAAGAAGGTCAACCTATATAACCAAGGAGGTCAACTTATATAACCAAGAAGGTCAACCTATATAACCAAAAAGGTCAACCTAAATAACCAAGGAGGTCAACTTATATAACCAAGAAGGTCAACCTATATAACCAAAAGGTCAACCTATATAACCAAAAAGGTCAACCTATATAACCAAAAAGGTCAAGTCAAATAGTTAGATAAAAGAATAAGAATAGGGGTCAGCAGTAGGTCAACCCTAATAAAGTAGGTCAATGAGATTAATACTTATTTTTTTTCATTATTTCTTGCAAATGTGATTGCATTTAGAATTCAAATGTATTTTGTATTCTCTTAAAGAGAGTGTCTGGCTAGACATGGTAGTTAGCTGAGAATGCAGTATTGTAGAGAAATGTTTTAGGAATGATTTGAGACCTTTGAGACGTTTTTACGGTTTATGTTTGCTAGCGATGGCACAAATTCATTCTTTAAAATCCTTGATTTGTTCATTTTGAAAGGATGGTTTTGAGAATCAGTTTTTTTTATTATTCAATAACGACAACAATTATGTAACAATAATGCTACAGTAAACTAATTAGATGTTTAGGAACATATTTTGTAATATAAATTTGTCAATAAAGCAATGTTAGAATCAATTATATTGAATTTCTTATTTTTTATGAATTTGTTCGCAGATTTCTTCAAATTCTAACGTCGTCATTTCCATAAAAATTCCAGAAAACTACGGAAAATGTAAAAAATGAGAAATTATACAGAAACCAAAAACTTAATTATGAATACTTAATTTCGAGAATAAAAGTAAATTTTTAGTTTTTCAACCTGTGCCTAAACAACTAATTAATTAAGTTTCAACTCAACTATCATATGTCTAGTGCAGACACTATCTTTAATTATATCTTCGGTTATTTTGTGAAAATGTATTATTATTTTCAAGAATTATCCCAAAGTGAATTGGGAAAAATAAAAAATTGCGACTTTTTTCAAAAACATGATTTATTGTCCAAAATAAAATATTATAGAACTGTATGTGGGGGGGGGGTTATAGTGCTGATTTTATTTATTTTAGAAAGTAAATATACCCCTGTCTCGTTAAGATAAACTTACCAGCATTGATGAAGTTACAGCCGGCCAGGCGGAGAGAGACAACCCGAACATGATGGAGACGATGATGTAGGATACAAAGGAACCGCTCAAGTCCATGAAGAAGGGGCACAGGGCTCCTGAATATCAAGCATAGTTATATAATCACGCGGAACTAACGAGACCTGAACATGTCAGTATTACGTGGAACTAACGAGACCTAAACATGTCGGTATTACGCGGAACTAACGAGACCTGAACATGTCTGCATTAAGTGGAACTAACGAGACCTGAACATGTCGATATCTTGTGGAACTAACGAGACCAGAACATGACGGTATCATGTGGAACTAACGAGACCTGAAAATGTCGGTATTACGTGGAACTAACGAGACCTGAACATGTCGGTATCTTGTGGAACTAACGAGACATTAACATGTCGGTATCATGTGGAACTAATCAGACCTGAACATGTCGGTATCACATGGGACTAACGAGACCTGAACATGTCTGTATTACGCGGAACTAACGAGACCTGAAAATGTCGGTATTTTGTGGAACTAACGAGACCTGAATATGTCGGTATCACGTGGAACTAACGAGGCCTGAAAATGTCGGTATCTTGTGGAACTAACGAGACCTAAACATGTCAGTATCACGTGGAACTAACGAGACCTGAAAATGTCGGTATTACGTGGAACTAACATAATGTTCCTGGTCAAATCCTTGAAGGGGCGACCTCATTTCCCCTTCCACCTCAGATTTTACATGATGTAGGTCATTTCAGCAGATAGATGAAGGCTTAATTATTTACTAATCCCTTCGGCTTCGGGATCCGAAAATAGAATACGGCGCAGTATGAGAGCTCACGCGTATCGATATTAAAGGGAGTGTTCGCAAAAATTAGGAGGTATAGGCTTAATGCGATAAAAAAGCGCTTTTGATCGCTACTAATCTTACTTCTATCTGTTGCGTCTATAAGGAGAAACTTGTTAAAGACGTCTCATTCCGAATAAATTAGCGCCCATACAAATTCAGAAAATTGCGAACACTCCCTCTTTAAACAAAGAATTTATTAACAGAATTGTATGGATCTAAATTTGCTTCATTGAGATAACCCGGAGTCCTGATGATTTTCAAATTGTACAGAGAAATAAACTGAGGCAAAGAGACAAAGTTGAAGAATTATGGGAGGGGGATCGGGGAAGGATATCTTATTCATTAATAATCAGACAAAGGTTTACAGAGCACCGTTGTGAATCAGACATGGCATTTATGAATGGAAGGTTACTTAAAATAATGTTTTTTTGATGGTCATTTTAATAGTTTATAACAGACAAAACGAACATGGGCAAATTGAAACAATAATCATAATGATAATAATACTTATTGATCCCTTTGGGATCCCAAAAAGTAAGCCTTCTTCTACTACTGCAAAATCTCGCTCACCGTGCTGGTGGAACTCATCAATATTTAAGCATAGAAAATATAAACAAATTGTTTTCATAAATTTTTAATTAACTAATTTAAATTATTTGATCTCAAATACACCAAGGAAATATAAAATAATCCATTAAAATGCATTCCCGTATAAACAAACAAAGAACGGAGAATTTATTAGATTTATAACTTGACTGTAGTGATCCCTAGCGGAATCTTCTCTAACTAGATAAGCAAATGCTTATTTTAGTTGGTTTTCGTGGATTTTCATAAATTTCTTTCGCGCATTTTCAAACTGAAACAATATACACATCGAATAGTTAATAAAGTTATATTTATCTAAAATTGATGGGTCTAGAACTAAATATAAACTGCACCCAGTCACCCACACGTCAAATTAAAGCAAATGTAATGCTAGATTGAATTTTATGTTTTAAATCATAATCCTAGACATGAGCTATAATAATTCAAAGAGTAGAAACCTTTAAGTGGACCAGATTCTAACTATAATTCTAACTTTTAATTGTATTTTCATATTTATTATTGTTTTGTTGGAAGACCTTGGAAGACACTTATTAAGTTATCCCTGTTTTGGACCGCTGCCCCCCCCCCAAAAAAAAAAAAATAAATATCTAATCTAAAAGTATTTAAAGTCGTTAGACATGAACTTGTGATTTTAAAAAGTTCAATTTCACTTAATAAATTAATTCTCAAGCTAATGGCAAAAACATCATATAATTCATAATAATTCAAATTATTGCTGAAATGTCGTATTCCTATTCCACATGTTTATGGATCTGACAGTAACAACTGTCCCATTCCTTACCAAAGAAGAGAGCAAAGCAAGTTACAAGGAGAGCATCTATCTTCGGGTGATCAGTTACTGCGCCTGTATAAATTAAATTTTAGAACATATTTTGTAAAATCAGTCTCTTTATTTACCTGAGATACCCCTGCCAGTATTAAACTAGGGAGCAGCCAGTATTAAACTAGGGAGCAGTCTCTTTATTTACCTGAGATATTATTATTATTATTATTATTATTATTATTATTATTATTATCATCATCATTATGATATTAACTTACTGATGGAAGGAACATGTAAGGAATGTATAGCCCCATGACCGCGGGCAGGTTTGCTACCATAATCATCATGAAAGCAGGATTGGTCATCAGGGTCTTTATTCCACTTTTAGGTTTAGACTGAAATGAATTATAATACATAGTATCTATCCAGATATCTATTTGTATGCTCGAAGGCGCCATTAATTGATATTGAGATAATATTATTATTAGCTTTATATTAAATCTGCTTGTTACATACGGCTTAGAACTCTAATAACAATAACAATCTTAAGGTTGTACTTTATGATGCTTGATTAAGTTTTTACAGGGTATCTCAAATGATCTGGCAAAGATATCGAAAAAATTATATAACAAAATAAATTTCATACATAACTAAAGTCTCATCTTTTTGTGGGTACCCTGTATCTATAAAGACCCTAAAAAGATAGAGGTGCAACTTTAGGTCAATGTTTCCAACCTGTGTTTGTACAACTGCCTCTACTGGTTCCGCCAGTACCTTAGTCTCGTTATTTCCATCCATGAAAGCAATTTCTTCCTCTGCATACGGTCCTTAGAAAATGTATTATATGTAAGACGACATTTGGTAACTTCCACAAATCAAAGACGAAATGAAAAAGGTATTTAAGTCAAAGACGACATTTCTTACCAAGTTCCTTCATTTTGTTTTCCTTCTTGAGTTCTGTGATAGAATCATCATCCTCTTCATCCGCAGGTTTACGTGGAACAGGTTTCATTGTTGCTCCAAACAAAACACACTAAACAACATTTATTAACAAATAAAAATTTACAGATTTTAGGCGGACCTATCCAAACTAAACAACCTACTTTGGGCAGTTGCCCTATGTAGTTACGCACACTTGCCGCGTTGAAATACAAGAAAAAAGAGATTAGTATATAACTTAGGGTTAGGCTGGGTTCAGACACTATCTAGGCCAAACACTGCGGCTAGGACAGGAAAGGGGGACGAGAGCTGCGGAGCTAGAACAGGCGCATCTCTCTGTCGTGTAATTCTTCGCTGCATGCGCACGTAACATTTTTACCTTTTGCATTGCATTGTATTTATAAAGAAATATGAAAAGAATGGTTTGAAGTGAATCTCATAATATATATTGATTAAATTGTGTTTTTGTTAATATTGGCCATTTGACACTAATATTTGATTAGCTTTTTAAATAAGTTTTTTTTTGTCTACACATAAACCTACGAAATGTAGCCTGACAAGATCAAAGTAGCTTCAAGCCAAATATGAAATATTAACTATATACGAATGCGTCGAAAAATAATCGATGACTACTGTTTGTAATATCTGAATGATTTGTTTGAAATTAAATTGATTTGTTTACAGTCTAAGTTGAATGTTGCATTTTTCCGAATTTGTATGGACGCTGTGTTCTTCGGTATTAGTCGTTTTTAACAATTTTCTCCTTATAGACGCAACAGATAGAAGTAAGATTCGTAGCGATCAAAAGCGCTTTTTTATCGCATTAAGCCTATACCCCCTTTCGTTGTGAAAAATGAGATTCGCCTTTAGTTAAAGCGATATTGGAATATCCATATTGTTTAATTATAGAGACATCTTGTTAAATTGAACATATTAGCATAAGACAGAGCCTTGCTTGTATCAATTTAGTGGAATATCCGAATTGTTAGACAGAGACATCTTGTGTCTGTGAAACAAACTAATTACCATAAGGCAAAGCCCAGCTAGTATCCTGTTGCATCCCGTCCAACCAAAACTTCCTTCTAGCGCTGTTACGAGAGGAGCAAAGACGATAGTTCCAGCTCCTGATCCACAGGTAGAAATACCTAGATAGATAGATAGATAGATAGATAGATAGATAGATAGATCAACATATGTTTGAAAAGTGTGAATAAAAGGATTTAAATTGAAATTTAATATTTATTTTGTCGGAAACAATAAAGCTTTAGAACTTGAAGACAGCAGAAAAGAATTTTTGCAAAACAACTTAATTTAGCAAAAACTTTAATTTTGCCAAATTTAAGCAAATATGGAGGAAATGTGTTAAACATGCAAAATTCTGGGAACTAGATCCAGAAACTGGAACAGGACAATTTCCTCTGAAATCTGATAAAAATAATTAAAATCAGTCCTTCACATACTTAGAGCTCATTCAAGCAGCAGGACAAAATAATACTTCCATAAATTTTTATAATTTTTTTTTCAAATTTTTATTTTTTTCCACGGGCAACGCAGGGCCCTTCAGCTAGTATATGAGCTCTTGATTTTTCAAGTATTGTAGTATTATATAATGTAGTAGACCTTTTCTCATTGATAAATATTTTTTCAGAACTTTATGGACCACTTTTTCAGAAATATACAAAAATAAAGCAAATTCTTTTTTCATCATCTGTGTTGTAATTTTTCTGTGAACAATTTGAAGTTTAAAGAGAAGTTGTTTATTTTGAGCAAAGCATCTGTTTAAAAAAAAAATTTCAAAAACTCTATGCAAATTTGGCAATGCACGATTCACAAGGGTACTCTTAAAACCTTTATCTGATGAATAATAGATAATCTCGTTTTTCTGGGTTTAAAAGTGTTCAATTCTGATAATTCCTAAATGTTTTCCTGCGTAGAAATGCACAAGTTACTTTTGTAGAGAAACCACAAATAAAAATAATCAGTGTTTTAGTTTAAAAATATGTAATTCATCCTTTCCTTGATCAGACAAAGCTTTTAAGTATACCGTTGTTGATCGGGCTTTGCCATCTTTTTGCATGGAGGGTCACTTGAATTACCAGGGTGCCTGGATCTTAGCTACCTCTCCGTGTGTTTATGCCTGAATGTACACTTGAGATAGTTTACTGATGAAGGATGTTAAGAGATTATGGCCTATTCATACTGTACAAACATCAAATATACAGTACGCTTTCGGAGTACAAGTGTTTGGGGAGATTTTGTATCTTAATTTTACTCAGTTTTCTCAGAACAGTTTATTAACGATGAAATATTGCTCTGTAAAAGACTGTAAATGTACGTCTTCCTGTGAAAATGGAATCCTGCACACGAGAATGGTGTAATGGATTTTAATAGTTAAATGGAAAACAAATTCTCAATCTAAATATTTTCAGAAATCACCCCCGAGTACTGTAATATACAGATAGACCTTTGGAAGTGAAGTACATGGGCTGTTCGATTTGTAAAGGATTAGCGTACATCATCACTCTATATAATATAACCTTGTTGGAAATTACGCTTACACTCCCTATATCTCGTTATGTGTCAACATTTTTGTTTTACGTATTTTTGTATAAATTATGTATATACTTTTCTCAATCAATCTTATGTTTGCTTAGATGCAAATCAATTTCATACTTCAACACACTTGTCATAATAAAACTATTAGAGAATATTTCAACTAAAAAACGTTAACCCTTTGCTAAATAACCATGGATTTCGCATTAAATATTTGGACTTTTGCAAAGGAATTGAGTCTTTGCCACAAACTCTGATTTTCTCCAACTATATCTCTGGAAGCAAATGTTGCAGACCTTAGATATTTCAAACTATGAATTCTGTTAGATCAAATAATCTGAGTTTGAAATATCAAAGGTTTACAACATTGAGTTCTAAAGATATAGGGGTTTAAATATTTGATTTTGTTCCAAAGACTCAATTCCTTTGCGTTTCTTTTGCCGATTATTAAATTAGAGCCCAAGAACTGTCCAGAAGTGTATCACTGTTTTAGATTTAAATCACATAATGAAAATAGAAGGTTTATTTTGGTTAGAGGAGACGTCAGCGCGCCTGATTAAGTTTATAAAAGGATCTCATCAGATGTACTTTTAACGGTCAATGATACAATTAAAATTAATTATTTTCAAATATGGTTAATTTCTCTATAAAAGGGAGTTAGAGATTTATAGCGTAAAACGATAAAGGAAATTGACAAAATTTAACACTTTTTAGTTACAAAAACAGCCAATCTTCCTCATTGTAACTTAGGTAACGTTGAGAATCGAAAAAGTCTTTTTTTTAATATAGGGTCACATGAAAGTACCCTCTCCAGTCCCTTTATGAGGTGATTTTCTGAATTATCAATATTCAATAAAGTACTTTTACATTTTACATTCTAAGTACATCATGAAAATTGCATTTTTAAAGAGCTTGTTGAAGTGTTGATTATCAGAGAAGCCTAAGTCATCAATTATTATTAAAATTGTCTACTAAAATATAAACACTTTCGTTCCAAATGATTAAATTTGTAAACTCATTTTTTGATAAGAAGCAATAAAAATGTCAAGGTTAACATTTTAAGAAAAAATAATAATAAAAAATAATAATAATGTTGATATGAATCAAGCAGGGGTGTAGCACCCCTCCCCCCCCTCCCCATGTCCCTCAACAATAGTATCCCCTTCTTATACTGCAAAAGAATTGAATGTTTGCCACAAACTCAAACTTTCTATTCCCTGTATATTTGTAACCTGATGATATTTCAAACTTAGATTTTTTAATCTGACAGAATTCATAGTTTAAAATATCAAAGATCTATGACATCGGGTTGCAAAGATATAGGAATAACTTTTTGAAAAGTTTTAAATTTTTAAGCATAACTCTCAAGTCCATGAAAAAGCTTTTACAAAATATTAAAAACTTTTATTTCTTTTCTTGAAATATTTTTTAAGAGTCATGATTTAAATAAATCTGCAGGCATCCCTGGAATTGAAATTTATCAAGATGAAAACTAATTCAAAGAAATATATTTAATCTTCAAGTCCCTGCAGATGACTTCAAGATATGGTATTTGCCCCAACATATTGAATATACACAGTTCTGACACCCCCACTCTTAATTTATAATGCGACTTAACAGAATTGAGTCTTTGCCACAAAGTCAAATTTTCGAATCCCTATATCATTCCAAGCGGATGGTGTAAGCCATAGATATTACAAACTAAGTTTATTTGATCTAACAGAATATATAGTTTGAAATGTTAGAGGTCTACAACATTGGGTTGCAAAGATACAGGGATTTAAAAATCAGAGTTTATGACAAAGACTCAATTCTTTTATTGGTATTTCAGGGGGCCTGGCAGAAGGGGGGGGGGGGGATTAACCAACCCTGCATTTAAAAAAGAGCCTTTTATGTATCTTTTATTATTTTCATGTACAAAAAAAAACAATATTTTAAGTTCGATCATTAACAGCTTAAACTTATTAAAAAATTATGTTTTATTAATTTTTTATTTTTTCGTTTCTTTTAAACTGCAAAATTCTATATTTTCCGATTGATTTTAAAAAAAAGAATTCTCCCGCATTGTTCACCTGTAACTAAAGATCGTCTTTTCTCAAACCAGTATCCTACAGCCACCACTGCCGGGACATACATCATGCCCAAACCAAACCCTCCTAAAAAAAAACATTAACAATAATCAATTAACAAAAAACTGATATTTAAAGAGAAAAATTTCGGTGTAAACTGAAAAAGTTTTATTTAAGTTAATTTCCTGCATTGTTTCAGAAACATAAATGCGCAAAGCACAAGCAACAAAAATCAGACAAAGGTACAAAGGTTCAAAGGTTCATAAATTTGAATCGAACTTGCCATCTCTACAATTGGAGGGTCACTTTAGATTACGTCTCCAGTCAAGAACAAGTATTTGTGTTTGGTGTTTGGAAAGGGACTAACCTTGGACCATATTTATTTACTAGAAATGAAGCAACTGGCCCAACCAACATTATAACACCAGCCAGTACGCTTCCAACCTTTAGTAAATATAAAAATGAAATAAAAAACAGATTTAAAAGAAAGAAAAATAGTTAATTTTTATTTTTAAGAATAAATATAATTTGTGTAACTTACCAATGAAACAAGTCCTTTGCCCTCTCCAAAATGTAGCATGAGAGGAGTTAGGAGGATTCCAAAACTGTACGCTATACCGTCCAAAACCATGTTACAAAGAAAACTCGCTGAAAACAAAATTTTTATTATTTCAGTTAATTAGGTCAAACGTCTTACAGTTCACTGCAAAAAGAAAGTCTTTAATTTGTCTGTCTCAGTGAAAAAAAATTTTGTGGCAATCAAAATGATAATTCATCATAACCGTATGTACTATGAAGTTTATACAATTCTCTTAAGTTTTTTGAAATTGCGTTTACAATCAAAGTTTTGTGAGATCAAGTCAATAATTTTAGAGGTTTCAATCGGCCATTTGTATTTTGGCCATTATCGATAGGTGTAACACAATATAATTTCTGATTTGCAGTGTGAATAATAAAATATTGGATTATGTGATTAATTGATTTGAACTTACCTGCAACGACGACCCACCCCCAGCCGCCATCTGGTGGGGGTGGCGGGGCCCCGGGATCCTCCATCTTGGATTTTTTAACAACCAACTTTACATCTTCTGCCTAGAAATAAATTCACTCTTTAACAGTTTTCGTTTAAAAAGTCGAAAAAAAGAGTTGCAAAAAGAGTTTCAAACGGACTTTAAAGTGCAAACAATCGGATTACGTATAACTAAAGATTTCGATCCTTTTCGTTCAATGTTTTCAACTTGTAACGTTGGAGTGGATACAAAACGTCGATTATCGAAACGTCGATTGCTAAAAAATATCGAAAAAACGTCGAATACTGCAATAAGTCGACTATTAAACTGTTGAATATTATAACTTGAAAGTTCAAAACTAAAAAATTAACTAAATCATTAGTTATCTTGTTCTGTTTTTTTAATCTCATGCTCTCAAAATATACAAAGTTTAAATTTAATAACGATTTTTGATTTTATTTTAAATATAACATTTTCATTTGAATCAGAAAAAAGAGTTATTCATTGTTCAGAACATAAGATAAAAAAGCATTTTTAATAAAATAGTGCCATAAATAATTGACAGCAGTCGTCTTCAATTTGTATGGGCCTTTTTATTTAAATTACCTTCTGCATGTTTTCAGCGGCTACATCTGCTTCCTGTTCTTTCGCTTCCTGTCCACCTTGACCCATTTTTAATCTTATTCAATTCTGAAAATTTGAATTTAGTTAAATTGTGTAAGTAAAAATAAATATTTATCCTAATTTTTCATTCTAATTTGAATTGATTAAGGAACTATAATAAGATAATAAAAGCAATAAGTGTCATAGCATATTTTGAGTTCAATAGCATGTTTTGAGTGTCATAGCATGCTCTGAGTGTCATAGTATTTTCTGAATGTCATAGCATGTTCTGAGTGTGAAAGCATGTTCTGAGTGTCATAGCATGCTTTGAGTGTCATAGCATGTTCTGAGTCTTATGACATGTTCTGAGTGTCATAGCATGTAGGGTTGTTAATCGTTTTTGAAAACGATCGTTTTCTGTTTCGTTTTTCAATCGTTTTCAAAAACGATCGTTTCGTTTTTGGGAAAAAACGATCCTTTTATAAAACGACCCACTCGTTTTGAACTTTTAGAAAACAAATACCGATCGTTTTTGTAAACGATCGTTCTTAAAAAACGATTTGCAACCGTTTTTTATACGATTGTTTTTTTTAAGACGATCGCTTTTGAAAAAAACGATCGTTTTTGAAAAAAACAATTTATTGACAATCATGTTAACGATCGTTAACGAAGGGTTGTCGTTAACGATCGTTAACGAATCGACGAACTTTATAAAAACGGTCGTTTTTGGAAAAACGATCGTTTTTGAAGAAAAAAATACATGCAACTTTATTGAATGTCGTCTTACATGAAGTTAAAAAGTTGTGGGGGAACTAAAACTTCTTGATATTTTCTTAAAAACTGCTCAATGATAAGTACAGATGCCATTCAGGTCGGTTTCCTCTCTTTGTTAACGATCGTTAACGAAGGTTCGTCGTTAACGAAGGTTCGTCGTTAACGAAGGGTCGTCGTTAACGATTGTTAAAGAAGGGTCGTCGTTATTAACGATCTTTAACGGAACGACGATTTTTATAAAAACTATTGTTTTGAAAAACGATCATTTTTAATGACGATCGTTTTTCAAACCGATCGTTTTAAAAACGACCATTTTTAAAAATCAAATTTTTCAAAAAACGATCATTTTCAAACTTTTTCGACTTTTCGTCGTCGTTTTCATAACGAAACGATCGTTTTTCAAAAAATTAAAAACGTTAACATGCTATTAGCATGTTCTGAGTCTCATAGCATGTCCTGAGTGTCATAGCATGTTCTGATCGTCTCATAGCATGTTCTGAGTCTCATAACATGTTCTGAGTCTCATAGCATATTCTGAGTGTCATGGCATAGCATGTTCTGAGTGGCGTAGTGTGTTTTGAATTTTGAGTGTAATATTTTGTGTTGTAAGTTTGAAATAAATAATTTCAAATGTTAATCTTTTTTTATCATTATTTTGTAATAATTTTTTATTTTCATATCTTTGACCTTAGGATTAGAATCCGATAGTTGTGAAAAATAAAAATAAATTTTAAAACCTTTAATTTTGTTTAAAGGCTGTTATTCAGCATGTCTCATGTATCAGTGTATCATGTTAACTAACTTCAACCCTCTACTCTGCAATAAAGCTTTGCTCTCTAATAAACACATTTTTTAAAAATCATTCTCCGACCTCGTGAACAATTGGGGATAAGGGGGACCGGTTGTACTTTTATGGAGGGGTAAGGGATGGGGGGGGCATACTTTAAATTTGATATTCAAAATTTCTAAGTACAAAACTATACAGAAGGAGACGGTCCAGTTGAAGCGACTTTACTGGTATGACTTTGTGACCTCGTAGCTTTCAAAACAAAGTTATATTTTAGAAATTCAAAACTTTTGAGGTGTTGTATACAGCACTTATATCAATACAATGAAGACGACTTTTTATTAAATTTTTATTTTAACAAGCTTTTTTCGAATTATAAGTTTACAAGTAATCCAAGAAAAGCTTTTTTATTGACTTTTATGTTTAAGTTTATGTCCTTGTTGTTTAACAGCTTGATATTAAATAGAATTAGGATCGAAAGTCTGCTTTATATTGTATTGATATAATCGCCTACTGCACTGTATGGAAATCAAAAAGTCATAATTCCATGTTTTTCCTAACACCTGCAAACTTTTTTTTTCAAGTATGCTGAGAACTAAAAATATTCTAATAAAAAAACTAAATTTTAAAGTTTTTAAAAGAACTCTAGTCTCGCCTTAACTGTCAATATTGCAATAAAGAATGTTGGGTAATTATACATCTTATAAAAACAATTTATAATATTTTGCTTTAAATATGTTGACAAGGGTTTAGAGCTAATATGTAAACATTTTGACATCTCAGTTTCATGAATTGAAATTTGCAAAATTGTTTGTAAATGTCACCTTTCAATCAGCTAAAAACATGAACAAATCAAATTTAAAAAGGTGATCGTTTACAAAGCAAAGAGTTTATTGAATCAAGTTTTAGTTTTTTATTAATTTAATCATTCATCGTTTATTAATACACTCGCTGAAGTACCCGGCGTTGCCAAGGTTATCAGTAGTTACTCCCGCCGTTTAACCACACTTGGTCTTAAATTACGGTTTTAGCTATTTTTCCCCTGATAAAGTTGACCCATTCAACTTAGAATCTCAAAACCAACCAAAGACCAACCCCGTGGTTCTCCAGAGTTCTCTGATCCGAATTTGAGGCAAATCGGTCAAGGGGTTTCTGAGATATGATTGGACAAACAAACAAACAAACATCAAGACATACAGAGGTTATATAACCTTTTTTTAAATAGATACATTTTCATCTATGTATTCAAACAACCGAATAAATTTATTTCTACAATTCAACTCTTTATTCATGATTGACTTTTTTTTATAGTAATTTATTCATTCGATGGCCAACTCATCAATCTACATAGTAATAATCGCCGATCATAGCTCATGAACCCCTTTACCGATTTGCTTTATAGTTTGATTGGGAACTCAGTAGAAATCACGAATTATTTCATTAGCGGCGTTTTAAATAACAACAGAACAAAGAAACTTTCTCAATCAAACCATTTTTTTCTTTCTACTTCTGATAATTATATGCATCAAAGTCAGCACAACAAAAATACAGAAAATATTAAAAAAATGCATTAAAATGTTTTTAGAAGGAATTGATAATAAAAATCTTTGTCAATCTTTTTGGCATTTTATGTTTTAAGGTGCCCCCAAAAAAATGTTTACAAAAATGTTATTTTAAGTTTCTTTACTGCTAATTTACCAATGGAAAAATGTCATCAGCCCTCCTATATGGCGTGAATAGGAAAAGGGGGAAGAGCCATGGGACCCTGGTAAATAGCATTTTCTCCTTAAAGTAAAAAATTTTAAACATTTTACATGTTTCCCCCCCCCCACACTAGTGTATATTCAGTTTACGTTACTGTC